GAGGGAAGGAAGAGGGAGGAAAGGAGAGGAAGAAGGGAAGGAATAGAAAGAAAAGGAGAGAGGGCAGGAAGAGGAAGAGAGGAGGAAGATAAGAGAGGAAAAGAGAGGGAAGGAAAAAAGAGGAAAGGAGAGGAAGGAAGGAAGGCATAGAAAGAGAAGGAGAGGGGGCAGGAGGGGGAAGAGGAAGAGAGGAGTAGGGGAGAGGAAGAGAGGAAGAAGTAAAGGGAATGGAGAGGAGGAAGGAAGAAACTAGAGAAGGGAGGGAGGGAGAAAAGAAAGGGAAAATAAGGCAGAAGGGATGATAAATAAAACAACCCAAACTATATATTATAATCTATTAAATGGAATAACAAATGTATAAGAACGACAAATGTAAACAACAACAAGAAGAATTATGTGAATGTGTCCTTAAAACGGAAGAAGGGAAGGGAAACGGGGAAGGAAGGAAGTAGAGAAGGGAGGGAAGGTGAAAAGAAAAGAAAAGGAAAAAAATAAGGTGGTGATAATACAAAATAGGCATAAGGGATGATAAGAAAAACAACATTTTAACTTTGTGTAGGGAAAAACCAAACCTGTCAAAGTGATAAAAGATAAATAAAACCCAAAACTTCATAAATGTATACAGATACGAGAATAAAAACAGATTAAAAACTTGGAAGCAAAATATCAACATTTATTCCAATTGTTTCGGGGTGCCTTACCCACGAGGCCTCCTGCCACTCAACCAGCCGAGCGGCCTGCACGATTCTTGGGGTCACCAGCCACCAACAACGGGGACCCTCGTTCCCGGGCTGAGGGCCAGAAGCATCTGCAAAAGGGGGAAATGTTGGTTTTAATTGGGGGGGGGTGGTGGTATGCATGTGTCTTCTTTTAAGGGGAGGGGGCTTTCTCCTAGGCCCCAGAAGTTGGGTTTCCACATGGGGAAGGGGGGAATCTCTCAATGTGGGGGGCGGGGCGGGTATAAATCTGTGTCCCGTCCCCTCAAAAGAAGCAAGTCCCTGCAATAATTTTGATTTTCAGGAGATTTTTTTTCCCCCTCAGGCTGAACAATTTTAAGAGGAGTGGGCTTCGGCTCCCAGAATTCCCCAGCCAGCCTGCCTTAAGAGGGGTGGACTTCAACTCCCAGAATTCCCCAGCCAACCTGCCTTAAGATGGGTGGACTTCAACTCCCAGAATTCCCCAGCCAGCCTGCTTTAAGAGGGGTGGACTTCAACTCCCAGAATTCCCCAGCCAGCCTGCTTTAAGAGGGGTGGACTTCAACTCCCAGAATTCCCCAGCCAGCCTGCTTTAAGACGGGTGGACTTCAACTCCCAGAATTCCCCAGCCAGCCTGCTTTAAGATGGGTGGACTTCAACTCCCAGAATTCCCCAGCCAGCCTGCTTTAAGATGGGTGGACTTCAACTCCCAGAATTCCCCAGCCAACCTGCTTTAAGACGGGCGGACTTCAAC